TATATTATTATATATATATATAGTTATATTTATATATATATATATGTTTGTCTATATGTATGTATGTATGTGTGTATATATATATATATATATATATGCATATGCATAAGCATATGTACATATTTGACAATAAACACATATATGTATATGTGTGTGTATGTATGTATGTATATGTATGTATGTGTGTATATGTGTGTACGTATCTTTATATATATGTAGGTATGTGTATATATATATAAATGTGTATGTATATATATATATATATACATATATATATGTTGATGTATATTTATACATAATGTATATATTGTGTATTGATATATATATGTGTGTTTGTATGTGTGTGTATGTATATTTATGTATGTATATATATTTATATATATGTGTGTGTTTGTGTAAATATGTATGTATATATATGTGTGTGTGTGTGTGTACGTATATACATGTATACTTGTAGGCCTCTATTCCTGTATATATGTATTCGTATATGTATATATGCATATCTATATAAAATATGCTTATCTATGCCTATTCAAATTATGTTTATATTTTGTATGTATATGCATATGTATGTATGTATATATATATATATAAACTGTACTCGTAAATGTACAAATGTATATGGAAGGCACACACGTAGTATGTGCAGTGTTGCGCGTGGATGCTTATCGTTAAGGGCATGGGAAGGGTGGGGGGTGGTTTAGTTCATAAGTCATCGCATAGGACTGCACTCTGCTCTGTCATAAGGATGACCGGAGATGGCCAAGATAGGGATTATTCTAAGTCTGGGCTGAGCCATATTTCACACGTGTGGTTTTATAACACTTGCCTGCTCCTTACCCTCGTTCAAGTCTGGGCTAAACCATATCTCACGCGTGTGTTTTTATAACGCTTTCCTGCTCCTTGCCCTCGTTCAACTCTGGGCTAAACCATATCTCACGCGTGTGTTTTTATAACGCTTTCCTGCCCCTTATCCTCGTTCGAGTCTGGGCTGAGCCATATCTCACGCGTGTGTTTTTATAACGCTTCCCTGCCCCTTACCCTCATTCCAGTATGGGCTGAGCCATATCGCACGCGTGTGTTTTTATAACGCTTCCCTGCCCCTTACCCTCATTCCAGTATGGGCTGAGCCATATCGCACGCGTGTGTATTAACGTGTTCCCCGCCCCTTGTCCTCAGGTGTACGTCAGGTGTTGAAAGGTGTTCTTATCTCTCTGGACGCGCGCCACTGCTCTGACGGGCCTGTGGTACCACCGCCGCACTCCATGTCATCGTCTGCAGATGTCCTCACGCCCACCTATACAGGTGCAAACGGGTCCGAATTCCCGGGTCATGGTGCAGGCGTAGAGGCGAGCGTACGCAATTGTGACACCACCGCAAGCAGAGGGTCGGAGCTTGTTGCCGTCAAGGAGCTTGCTGCTCATGACCTTGAGAATGAGGCACCTGGCCCTGAAAATGGGGCCAGGACAGGTGCGAATGTCAATACCAACACCCGTCGCTATAGCTCAGCGAGAACACCGTCATCGACATCTCGGACAATATTTATTCACCCCACTATGCGCTCTACGTCCTTACAAGCGACCGGCTCGCGGAGCCTCTCAAATATGAGCTCACCTTCGGTAGGTGTCCAAAAGGCATTGAAAAGGCATTGAACGGTTTCTTGGGATGAATGGGTGTTGTTTGTATCCCTGTTGTGCAGACTGTTTATTTCCTCTCTGTTGCCTCTCTCTTCCTTACGGCATTGAACGGTCTCATGGGATGAATGGGTGTTGTTTGTATCCCTGTTGTGCCGACTGTTTATTTCCTCTCTGTTGCCTCTCTCTTCCTTAAGGCATTGAACGGTCTCATGGGATGAATGGGTGTTGTTTGTATCCCTGTTGTGCAGACTGGTTATTTCCTCTCTGTTGCCTCTCCCTTCCTTGAGGCATTGAACGGTTTCATGAGACGAATGGGTGTTGTTTGTATCCATGCTGTGCAGACTGTTCATTTCCTCTCTGTTGCCTCTCTCTTCCTTAAGGCATTGAACGGTCTCATGAGATGAACGGGTGTTGTTTGTATCCCTGTTGTGCCGACTGTTCATTTCCTCTCTGTTGCCTCTCCCTTCCTTAAGGCATTGAACGGTTTCATGGGACGAATGGGTGTTGTTTGTAT